GCATTTTTTCGCAGGTTTATAAATTTTTATTAAATTTTTGTGGGTTTTTTTGCTCAACACCTTTCATGCCTATTAAAAAATTCATTTCTGTGGAAACCTTTCTGAAAAACGTTGATTAAATGCACAAAAAATGTAAATTCTCAGTTCCCACGGACTCTTTAGCTAAGGAAATAACTACTCTTTGGCGGCCATTTTCTCACTAATTTTACCTCTGAAAACAGGTGACCTCAACCTCCTTCTTTCGCAAATATCTCGTCTTTTTATTCAAGATAAATGGATACTGTTTTTATCAAAATATAGACTATTGAACAAGCTTTAAGATGATACCAATAACTCTACATGCCCAAAAATTGACGAGAGCCTGATTCCACCACGCTGCCTCACATTTGACAATCACCTGTGATGGACGCTTCCCATTTCCAACCTTGAGTATTTTCATGTAAGAATGACACCGTGTAAGACTCCACCTGTCTACAACAGCCACATTTCTCCTTAACAATAAGCTTTCATCCTATTCTTACTGCGTAGAAGTTTTAAAACACCGAAGATCTTCTGAACATTGTATTGTATGTTTGGGTTTTTCGAGTGACTTGACTTTTCCCATCGTTGTCTGGCGTCTCTCTCTCTCTCTCTCTCTCTCTCTCTCTCCCTGTCTCTCTCACTCTCAGAGGATCTCTCTCTCCTCTCTCTCTCTCTCTCTCTCTCTCTCTCTCTCTCTCTCTCTCTCTCTCTCTCTCTCTTTCTCTTTTTTCTCTTTCTCTATCGATCTCTCTATCTCTCTTACACCCCCCCTCTCTCTCGTTCTGTCTCAGTCGTTCCTTTACTACCGTTTCTAACTGCCCCCCCCTCTCTCTCTCTCTCTCTCTCTCTCCCTCCCTCTCTCTCTCTCTCTCTCTCTCTCTCTCTCTCTCTCTATCTCTCTCTCTCTCTCTCTCTCTCTCTCTCTCTCTCTCTCTCTCCATCTCCATCATCCCTGTCCCTCTTATCGACAATGCGATCACAGAAATCCACTCCTCCATCACCTGTCCCCACCTGGGCGTGCATTCAGCAGCAACAAAAGGCGGACACAGACACAGGTGCTCCCGATCACATCCCAGACCCTGCTCATACAAAAAGAATCGAGAGGATCTTCCGCACTCTTCTTCCATGTTGTGAACCACTACACCACCTGCATTTTTTCACGTTTCTGTATTTACTGTTTTACACCCATATTGACCCACTTCATATCATTTAGGAGGCGCCCTGCTTCAATCAATCAGTCTCAAGGAGGATAATAGGAAGAGAATTTAGCCTTCCAGCTTTCTAAACAGTATTAGTCCAAAGAAGAACTTGCGAGAATCTATGAGGTGATCTTTGTATTTTTTTATTTACTGCTCTTCGCCCCTATTAATATATTTCAGGTCATCAAAGAAGCAAGCTGATGTGACCACAACTCTTAGGGACATCATCATCATCATCATCATCAAGTGCCATGTCTGTGCGAGACATCGGCGGCCATGGTTCTCCATTCATTCTTTTGCTCGAATGCTCATAAAACAGCTACATTACCCTGATCTTTCCCTTTTACCCAAATGTGTAGGTTCTCCAAGTAGGTTGCTCTGGGCCTACCCCTACCTCGTTTGCTTTCAGTTTTGCCAGTGAGAGCTGGACTTTTTAAACCTTTATGTCTATTCAGGTGTCCCAAAAGCTACATTTGTCTTTTCCTGATTGCTTTTATCAGTGAGCATCTCACTTGGGCTTTTTCAAGTATAGGAAAATGGAGCCTTTTAGTGTTCAAAATGTGGCAAACTATTCCCCTGCCAGAATTGGTCTCTTCGCCGCAGCAGAAGACAAGTCATTGTAACCGTAAATTCTCCAAATTCTTCTATTTTGCTAGAGAAAATGTTCTCCTCTGCGGACGTTTTTGTCATCTTCAAACATTGACGGGCGAGCTATTATTAGATTTATTTTTATTATTATTATTATTAGTATTATTATTATTATTATTATTATTATTATTATTATTATTATTATTATTATTATCATTATTATTATTATTATTTTTATTAGTATTATTATTATCATTATCATTATTATTATTAGGCCATTATTATCATTAGATTAACTAGTAAATGTACCCGTTCTACGAACGGAATAATAATGAAGAAGTATTAGGGAAGTTAAGAAGAGAAAAAGACTGAACACAAGAAAGAAACAAAACATAAATATTTTACCTTGAATTTATCCATGTAGCACCCCCCCCTCCTCCGACTACCTCCAGGGTAAGACTTCTTCTCCCTCTATGAAGGTGTGGCATTTTCTCCTTAAGTTCCAGCTCAATCACATTTAAAAAAAAGAGTGAGGCCTATATACCAATTGTTGCTTCCTAGAAGAACCTAATCTAGATTCTAGATCTAGCCTAGATCTCGAAGGATTACAAGTATAAAGACATAGGCCAATAATTGAAAGAAGGAGCCTAGGCCCATAGATAGATTTAAGTTTAGAAATTCACATTTTTAACAACCGACAGGCGTCACAGATGGCCTAGATTTCTAGATCTACTCACCACAGGAACAATCCACTTTCAAGAATACTTTCATGATTCTTGATCTCGATCTAGATTCACCACAAGCCTAGTTCTAGATCTTGACTCTAGATCTATTCACTGCAGGAAAAAATCCACGTTCAATAATTTTCATCATTCTTGATCACGATCAAAGATTCACATATAGATCTAGATCTTAGAATCTCTAATGCACAGCGAGAGAAATCCACGTTCAATATTCAATAGCTTATCGAAATATCACAGACCTAGATTCTACTTTTATTTCATGATTTTTCTTGATCTCGATTTAGATCTCGATTCTAGGTCTCGATTCTATATCTCATCTAGACACTGTGCATAAAATACACCCATCCTTCGGCGGGTGCGTTTAATCCACTGCAGGAGAAATCTACTTTCAATACTTTCATCATTATTTACCTTGATCTACATTAGATATTAGATCTAGACATAGGTCTGCACACAAACACACTGAACACAAAATATCCTTCGGCGCAGTTCGGCGTGTGCGCTAAATCCACTGCAGGAGAAATCTACTTTCAATACTTTCATTTTTAAAATCTTGATCTAGATATTAGATCTAGACATACACACACATACGACTGCACGCAGGGCGTAAACCGGGCTCCGACTGGCTGAACCTTTGACTTTG